CTAAATAGAATGGTTAGTTGCCTCTTTACAAATGTATTTAGATCACTAACTATTGGTGATCCCTGTATGATAGGGAAAGAGCAATATATAGTAAAATAAATATTTAAAATAACTGGCAAGACTGTAGTTATTTCCTAACTTGCATATAGTCATGAATAACTCGACTGATCTGTTTACACGAAGTTCAGTTGACCTACTATCGACCTTACATCGCTCAATCGTACTTCAACTGTACGCCATATAAAACTTAAGCATTAAGAAATTCGGACTTTAAACATTCGATGATTCAGTATTTGTTAAGAATTAATAATTTTATTTGTGGATAAATTCAATTATATTGTTTCGATGCAGAAATATGCGGTAAATTAATTTTTTTATTGCTTAAACAATTTAATAACTGCATATTTCCTTTTTTTATCCAGAATGATATACATATATATTCGCAAAAACATAAAATGTGGCACGTGGAACAGCTAAATCAATAAGAAAAAATAAATTTAATAGCGAATTCAGTTCGACTCATCGATACGTAGCAGTGCACACTGATAAAACTTGTGTAAAAATAAGACGCAAATATTTTGAATTATAAAATGTAACAGAATAAAAAAATGTAAAAAAATGTATTTAAAATGTATTTAATTCGTTTTTATATTTACATTTATATATTAAGGATTCAATTTGTTTATATATTAAACATACATTTTTATTAAATCAACTTGTGTACGATGGTTTTAATGTGCACCAGAGTGCGCTCTAAAATTTGCTATAAAGTATATTTCTGTATACTAAAACAATATCAAAAATTAATTCACAACAAATAAAAATTATTAATTTTTAATTCTCCATTGACAAATGTATATACTTTTTGATTATGGTCTGCAACTTGGATCGTTGTGGTCCATAGCAAATTTTTTTGTTGTTTCAAACTACATAAAAATTTGAAACAATTCTTGTAAACTTATGAAACCTTTAACCACAAGTTTTTTTATAAATTTAAATATAGTGTAACAGTTAACCCCACCCTCCCACCCCCCACCCTCTAGTACAGAGTACAATATAATAATATGTACATGCATAATTAATAACAATAATATACAATATAACAGTTTTGAACGTAATATCAGTTAAAAATTCGTAACTTTTATATAAGTAAATGGAAATATCCTTTTAAATCGCAATTGTTTGAAGATATGTACCAATATATATTGTTAAAAAAAAATTAGTATGTATGAGTATGATGGCTTCAAAAAGATAATAAATTATTTAAACATTTGAAAATAAAGATTTTTTAAAAACCAAGTCTTTTCGCAAAAAATAAAATTGTTTTTTCATAGTTGATTAATTATTAAATTTTGTTTACATTATCCAAAATAAAAACAAAGATTCTAAAATATAAATATATTATACGGTATACAGTTATGTAATAATGTATACGGTCCTCGCTACCAATTTGCACATAAGGCACAGTACATAGTTTTCTTATCACAATGTCAAAATGAACATCTTTTTCGTTTCTGTAAAAAAATAAATCTTTCTGAAGCAATTTCTTCTTCAATTTGGATACAGTATTTCATGACTTATATTATACATACTTAAATACATTTTTACAAATATTGACTTTGCAATTACATTAGTGAAAAAAACGAACTACTGAAATACTTATTTTAAAAGTAAAATCTTTAAATATTTATTGAAGTTAGTGTAAAAAAATGTAAAAAAAGAATTTAATTGCACAAGATCTTACATGGTTTGAAACATAGATTTTTCTTCTTCTTCTATCATTACTCCTTGAAACGAAACAACTATATGGATACTGATGGTTTTTGTATTATATACATACAATCTTAACATTATCAAGTTTTTTAGGAAACGAAACTGAACTTATCTATTCTTATCCTTCTTAAAATTTATAATAAAAAAATCAACGTATCTTGCTCATCATTGCCAGTAAAGAATTAATAATTGCTGAGTCGTCAAAATACGTGCTTTTTCTGTTGACAATTGCTTATTACATACATTAACATAATCATTTAAATATATATATTTATAATAAGGCTCAATAAATTTAAAATTAATTAAAAAACAGGGCTACGAGCCAAAAATTCATTAATATATAAAACTATTAGTAAATAAAGATCGTCGTTTAGTTAAAAATGTAAAGTTTAATAAAAATTGAAAACATACGTTTCGATCTCTATTAGGTCATTATCAATGTTACATAAGTCGCAAGATTGTTAACAATGTACGAAACTATGGTATTATAAAATTACAAAGACGAAAAATATGTATAAAAATATAAAAAAATATGATATGGGTGTGTAATCTCACTCGCATAATTGAGATTTTAATCATTTCGGCACACCAGCAAGAGTCCACAAAACAAAGCAAATCGTCCAATTATGTAGTTTGTGAAAAGATATAGCAATTGTTTCTGTCGAATAATCATTTAATTTAGATACTATTATAACTAAATAAAAAGTTTACTCGCTTGAAGTCGTAATTACAGTAACTCAAAAAACTGATTAAATGTATGTATACAATTATTTACAATTGGTGAGAAAAGTTAGCAACAATGATTTTCAATACTTTCAATATCAATAAAAAACAAATATCTGTGTGATCTTGTTGATTGCTATATGGTAAGGATTTTATCACTATATAATATACTTATATGAGCACACATTTTATATAAACATATTGTATAAACATATTAGATTAAAAATGTTTAGATCAATTAATATTGTTAATTTAATCCAGGTTTTTAGATTGTTTTATTTAGACGAATCTTTTTAGGTATTATCGTTAATAGTTTGTAATTACTATTATGTGAAATATCAATTTGCAATCTCTTCAAAATATTTTTATAAAAAGATGTTAAGTTTTAGTTGTTTTCCAGTTAACACAAAAACATTTTTAAATCGCTTAGATTTTGGTTAAAGTTGCTTTTATAAAGATAAAATGTTAACAAATGTATAGAATAGTTCTATTTGTTACTTAACAGGGACAATTTTTAATTGGTTATAACTTCGAAATGTTAAGTTGTCTGGAAATAACAAATAATTTATAGCAGATAATTTTATTATAAATAGAAATGTTTATTATCCATGATTGTTTCATATCAAAAGGTAAATCGAATCGTTGGAGATTTCTTATGAAATTAGCAGAATACATGGGTTCGTAACATATATTACTGAGATCCCGTTGAAAATAATGCTAGGAATGCGCTAGTAGCGCCTACAGAAAGTATATAGTTTACTGTAGGTGTGAATGTTTTTAAAATGTAGAACGAAGATACAATGACGATTGCTAGGAAAAGGGCGTTATTGTAGAAAATTGAGAATGTCGTTGCTTCGTAATCCGCCACTTCATTTTTCTTCCATAAGATCCTAGATAAATATAATATAAATTAATATTTTACAAAAGGTACGATACACTTTTTATTATAAATAATCAATTATGCCGAGATAATTACTTATATTGTATATCATTCGATACATGACTAATCGATCAGCCATTTGTTTCAGAAAAATATAAAATTACCTTTCGTCTTTTTCTTTCTTGCTCATCTTCTTGTCTTCTGCGAGTTTACGATTTATTTCTTTAGTTACAGCATCTTCTCTTTTTACAGCAATCTGTGCATACACAAAATTACATTATATATACATATATATTCTCATCATGTACATTATCTTTAAGGCTTATTCAATGAGTTCTCAATAAATGATCCTGCACTATCAAATATTATAAAATTTGTTCACTTTTTATGGTTTTGCTTAAGAAAACTTTTAATCAGCCTCTCATGATATAGAAAATATCACAGTTTTAGCTAATTTGATCAAAGCTGCTTTTATTGGTATGAACTCTTTTAAATTAGAATTAAAAGGTAAATTCTTTAATGTTGTAAATTGTATAAAACATGTAGGACACACATACCTTATGTTTGAGGATAAATTTTGTGTTTTTATATGCTAAGGCAAGAGCATATGTGCTCACCAATGTAACTAATACAAAAGAGATTAAGTTAGAGTATAAATCGATCAAATGTATTCTCCAAAACAACCCTGTAAAAAATAAAATACAGTTAAAATAAAGAATAATGATTTCATATGTAATATTTATTTTCAACAAATATTAAATATCAGATTTAAAACAAAGGTATACAGGGAATATTAAATTATATATAAATAAAACATATTTTTTAATATGAATTGTTTTCTATATAGAAGCTAGAAAAATCGCTCTACTGAAATTATTGTACAGAAAAATCTGTCTATGCTGTAACAAGTTTTGTATAGAAAATTAGATAAGGATATTATAGAATCTGTCATACACAATTTGTCAAGTTTTAAGACATAACTGTCAAATCTCAGTTTTCTAAATGTATCTTAAATCAGGTAGTAAATCAGACAACGTAAATTTTATACAGTAAGAATCTAATTGTATAATGTAATAGAGAGAAACGATGAAAGAAGTACTTTTCAGTGTTCTTCACAAGTTTCTGCACTTACAAATGGGTATCGCAGAAACGATGAAAGCATTGCCATAGAACAACGCCGAGGATTTTGTCGACACGTTCCTGGAGAAGTCTTGCAGTAGCAGCTCCTCCTCCTTGGTAAATGCTTTAGACTTTCCTGACATTTTCGGTAACAGCTAGACGATCGGACAATCGTTCGGCCACGAGGATTGTCACTTGACGGACGACGGAAATATCAGAGTCAAAAACAAATTGGTACGCATGCGTAAAAAGCGTCAGTGTGGAAACGTGTGGTGACGTGTCTCCGTCGTCATTCCTCGTCATATCGATCGAGGTGTAAGTCTTGCTCCCTCTCTCTGTAGGCGATTATTGTAAACTTTACCAAAAATTTATGTTCAGTTGTAGGTATCGTAAATTCTTACTGACACACACTTATATTTTCTACTTTTGCTCGTTTCTACTAATACACAGAATAACTTATTTAATTTTAATTTAACTTACTTTTTATCTTTTTATAGTCCTAAGAAATAGAATTTGATTTGACAAAAATGAACATTTATTGTACATATATCTGAAACTTTATAGATTAAACGAAAATATCATGACTTTGTTGCATTTATATCTTTAGCATTTTATTATTGATCATTATATTAATCATGATAATCACAATTTGATGAGTTCAGAGATAATTGAAGAGCTCAATATTATCTGCAATATATAAATTAAATTTGATTAAGCTATCTTTTATAAATACAGATTAAATTAAATGATTTATTAATGTATTATTATTACAAGCATACCTATTTATAGGATTACTGCAAAATTGTTTTTTAATATAGTTATAATATATTGCATTGTGCGCATAAATAATGAAATATTTACGAGTTAAATAATAATAATATCAAAACATATGATATAATAAAGCATAAAATGAAATTATCAATTAATCATAGTTCAAATTTAGGAACTTCCATAAACTAAATTGTTGATTATTTTTAATATTGCTTTGTTGCAGTTGTAGCTCTTACAGCTCTATATATACACACGCACACACACACACACACACACACACACACACACACACAGCAGTTGTAGCTCTTACAGCTCTATATATACACACGCACACACACACACACACAATTATACGAACTGTGCAGTGACAGCAACCAATTCGTTCCGTCTCTACTGTCTCTAGTGTGCCATTTGCTGTCATTTCTGACGGATCAGCAGCGGTCCGTTAACTTGAAGAATTTCCTGGATTTCCAATTAAATTATCAGTGTTATGACACGCGTACGGTACTAGCGTGTCTGGCGTAAATCCATCTCGACATCGCGAAATTATGGAGGCCGAAAACGAAGAGGTGTCCTTGATGCAGTCTGCAACGGATGCATCGACGTCAATCGAGAACCATAACCACAACAAAGTACGCAGAAGGAACGTGCCTGAGTCGGTGTCATCGGCGAGCCTTTCAACAAAAACGGACGGCTGGGTGACAATTGATTCGCACGATCGTGTGCCCCTTGTGAATTTGTCAGACTCCACGAAAGCATGGCACGACAGCGTCACGCCGCAGATACCGGATCTCGCCGATGTGGCCGCAGCAGGCAAGCAGCGGAATGGTGTGCTGACTTGCGAGGACGATCACGGTGTGACGGATATCCTCACGAGCCGCGACAAGATGAAAATGAGCGTAATCCGCGGCAGCATCGCCAATCCGGATCTCACGTTAGGAGAGCTAAGACTACTAGGCTGCAGTAGCGAGGGATTCGTTAATGGTACTTTGACCAGGTGACGTCAATTATGATCAACAAGGAACCTTAATAATCTGATAATTTTGTTCTTTGGAATTTTATCGAAAGAGAATTTTACGGGTTTTGATCTTCTGCACGATTATCATTGTTGTTTTTGGATACAGACGATATTTCAAGTGCTATTTTGTTAATGTTACTTCAATAAAATATATAACAATGGTTCCTTTTTGAGAATAATTTTGTTCTCTGTGACTAAGTCTTGAAATCATGAGGATGATCTGTAGATGATGTACGAAGGGTACTGTGGCCAAAACTCTTGCGACTGGTACAATTGGATCTCACGCCTGTTAACGGATTAGAAACTGTACATACTTATATACCAAACGAGATTTATCAGCAGATATTGAAGGATGTGGCACGCAGCGGTAGTCATGTCTCACAGAACGCAACAGAAAAGGAGATGGAAAATTTTCAAGAGCAATTAACTCAGCTTATGTGTTGGGTACTTCATAAACATTCCCAATTGAAGTTAGTATATTCAAGCGTGAATCATTTATTATTAATTTATAATACATTTATATATATATTATAACTTATGTTTTATTATGATATAAAATGAAATAATTTGTTCTTAGTTATTACCAGGGTTATAATGATGTGGCAGCAACTGTGTTAGTTGTAATGGGATTACAAACAGGCTTGTATGTGCTCGAAAGTATCTCGTTAGAATTCCTGGAAAGATTCATGGAAAAAACTATGGAAAAAGTGAATCAAGAATTATTCTTTATATTTGCATTGCTGGAAAGAGTACATCCTACACTTTTGGAACATTTAGAAAAGTTAGTCTTTTCTTATTCATAGTTAGTCTTTTTTTATTATTAAGAATAATAAAAACATCTTCAATTTTTTGTTTCATGTTTATTCTAGATAAACTAATAAATGAACTTTTATTATATTCTATATTAATTTAATATCTTATATATGTATAAATTATTTCAAACTTTTATATTTTTTGTTTTGATTGCATTCTTATTTTATACACTTGATATTAATAATCTCATTACTAATAGAGCAATATTTCTTTTTACTCTAGTGTAGAACTGTTTCCACATTTTGCTTTGGCTGAGTACACGACATGGTATGCACACAAGTTTGCAGAAAATCGAAAATTGTTACATAGATTATTTGATTTTTTCCTGGGTAGTCCTCCACTTTTGCCTCTCTATTTAAGTACAGTAATTGTTGCACATAGAGCTACAGAAATTTTTAATACTACACCTGATATGGGGCACACACATAAAGTCTTATGTACGGTGAGTATAATTAATGAAATAAATGGTTCTGAAGGTTCGAAAAAAGACAATAGAATAATTTCAAGTTTGTTTTCAGTTACCAGACGACTTGCCATTTGAAACCCTTTTAGTAGAAGCAAAGAATCTATATCGACAATATCCTCCTGAATCTATCAGTAATGATGTCAGAGATTATGATCATAAGAGAAAAATTAAAGAGCAAGAGTGGAAGGCAAAAGCAGAAGCAAGTCGTCAAGAGAGAGAAAGACAAAGAAAATTAAAAATTGTTCAAGCAACGCCAAGAATATCTTATCGTATAAGAAGTTATAAAACCATTACCGTTGTAACTATTTTGGCTTTGGGAATATATGCTTTCATAAGATCCTCGACAGGGCTTAACTGACATTAAAAGATATTATTTGTTGTAAAAAAAATTAGAATTTTTACATATCTTCTAAAGCAGAAACCCTCCACTTCTTTAATACATTGCTATAATTTGGAACAAGATTTAAAAATTATATAAAAGCAAGCACCAAAGAAATGAAGCAAGGAATATATATTGCTAGGAATAACTGAAAAGTTTGGTTGTCAATATTTGAGCAAAAATCTGTTTTAGGACATGAGTCAGAATCTTGTGCATTCCTATGCTGCCTTTATGCTGTGTTCTGGAGGCTAACATGAACTTTTATTATATGTTAAAAAATTATAAATATACGAAAATTTATAGGAAAAAAAATAGCAATTTCAAGATTAATATTCAGAATTGCTAAAAGTTTGAATCTAAATGGGATATTAAATAAATGTATATAAAAATGTTTCGTACATAATATTGCTTATTATAATTACGTTATTATGATCTGTGATTAGAAATAATTTTATTTATAATTACATTTGCAAAGAAAAATTATGATAGTTAATCATTATGAAATCAATAATAAAAACATTTTATTTTTTAACAACATTTATTTATTATCATCTTTGATGATGAATTTCTTCTTTATAATATACCATATTTTATCTTAGAAATATATATATAATTATATATGTATTGTCTAGTTTATCAGGTTTGATAACATTAGATATCAAAAGAATACTGATGTCGATTGCTTATATTTTATGTAGAATATTTATTTTTCATCATTTTATACACGAATGTAATTTTGTAGAAACTTAATGTGTGGATAAATGTTTATTATAAGTCCATATTACTACAATATATGGACATATTTATACCAAAAAAATATAAGTTACTGTACATTACAACAAATATAAAATTTTAAAGTTGTAAACATTTTAGAAATTTGACGTTTGTTAATATTTCTCAAGGGAATGCTTTTTACATCAAATTTCTTGAGTATTTTAAGAGTATTCATGACAATTATGAATCATTGTAAATATAATATCAGTATATATTTATAATATAATCAATTTATGACTAGTTTAAGAAACTTGGATTTCATTGTTATTCTAATTGTGCTGCATTAGCGACTAAAAAAATATGTTACTATACAGAATAGAAACTTTATAGCATATTATCACTATATATCGCTAGTCATGTTAATCTGATCACTCTTTGTTTCATATGAGATCATACAAAAAATTGATAATATATACTGAATATATAAATATGTACACATAAAGAGGAGATAAAAGTATTATATTTATAGCTGAGAGTATGGCTGTATGCCAGTAAATGTGGAAGTATTGACATTTAGAAAATGTTTTTTGTAACTGCACTACTTTATAATATTCTCAATTGATATTTGCCGCTATGTTATGTAATGATATATTTTAATGAACAATGTAGTTAATAAAAATATTTTTTCAATTACATGATATTTTTTAGTCAATAAAGTATCAAGAAGTGAATGTACTTCATAAACTTAGGCAAATCTTTTAGTCTTGTTAAAATTATTTTATATTAAAGTTTTAATACTAATACCAAGAGATTAGCACTGACAAGATATTATTATCTCGGTCGATGATAGAAGGAAAAAATGTTAAAAGAATTTAGTGACATTAATCAATGTGTTGCCATTCTTTCGCATTCCATTAAAATATACTAATAAAAATCATATACTTTTAAAATTGTCTTAATATATGCTAAAATATCAGGATTTCTTAAGATCTCCGTATGATCTACTCCAGGAAAACTTTGATTATAAATTTTTTGTTTTTGTGATTTCTGCCAAAGTGTACATGCTTCTAAACTCCTTATATTCACCGTTCCGTCTCCATCTCCAACTATTAATTTTGGATAACCATTTACACTCGTACCTGGCTTATAATACAACCTGTGAAATGCGAATTTTAATTGGCTCTTCTCTTATCACGAATCTAAATCGAACAAAATATTTGATGTATATACAAACTTTTCTACTGTGTCCACTTTGTTACCGTATAAACAATGTACTTCAACACCTGGTGCCGTAAAATCCAATTGATATTTCTCATTGTCTGTTTTGAACTCCCAAGCATTAGGAACGTCTATGTCTCTGTAAATAAAAATATTTCGAAATATATTTGTGGACAAAATGTAGCAGGTATACAATAATTGTCTAAATAATTCACTATACATAAAATATTGTTGTAAATTGCTCAACGTATAGTTTTTTTGATCCGATTGCACCAAAATCTCTGTGTCTTTCCAAAGTAGTTTTGAAGGTAATAACCATCCTAGACTTGGACTCGTTATCTGTTCGTCTCTTAATGTACTTTCACGAAGAAAATATGCACCTAAGTCATCTCCTATATTCGACACAAGTTTAAATGTGTAAAATATTATATTTTATAAAACAAAATAACAGTTAAAAAATTTGTATTATACTATTCTGAATTTAAGTTATCTGTTAATTAATTATCAATAATATATTCAGTAATCTACTATTAATAATTATAGACAAAGTTATACAAATAAGATTGATATGTTTACCAATGGCAAATACTTTAATAGCCTTGGCAGATCCTGCCCATACCGCACTAAGGGTGATAAAGGTATTTATATATTTATCCTTCCAATTTTGACTTTGACGTTGTAACATTATAAGAGTCATAGGTCCACCCATGCTATGAACCAACAGCGTCACTGGTGTATTATTATTCATTATATACGTTTCTTCGACTAAAGTTTTTAATTTAGTGAAGAATTCTTCATTTTCACCTGCAGTTTAAGGTCTCTGTTTCGTTAATTTGTCATATAATCAAATAAAATACATGATATTAAATGTTAACATGTAATGCCTATATGAAACAATTTATTAATATTATTTTTTTACATACTAGGTCCTTTTCTGAAATCATAAGGCGCGCCACGTAGTGATAAATTCCTGATGTATCCTAAATCATTTACTAACATGTTTCCAATGTCCTTGAAATAAGAACCTGGCGAGGCTCTGCTGGGATCTATATATTCGACAACAAACGGATTGCCCCATCCCGGTATCCTTATATCTACTCCAGGCTGATTGCTAGTAGTCCTCGTTACATTGTTATAATTTAATTTAAGATTGTCTATCTGCAATAGGATTCAAATTACTTTCAAATTATTCAGCGAGAAAAAGATTGGAGCTATGCATAGTAAGTCAATGATAGTACAAAGCAGTCTATTACGACAGGTACAAGCAGTTCCATGTTCAGCCATAAGTTAAAATAATCATTGGATGCTTTTTCGCATATATAATGCACCACTGATGACTTGTTAATCTTTGCCTCAACCTGGCTGCCGCCATCACCTGGAACTGGAATATCATTTTCCTTTGTAAGTAGACGCGCTCTTGACAATGTGTCAATAAGTCAATATCTCTGAATTTCTATGACACTACGATAAGAGTCATATCATCAAAGTAGAGAAATCATATGAAACGGCATTTCAGAGCCATTTCGACCCCTAAAGTACAGACAGAAAGGGTCATGATAATTTTCGGCGAGCGAATGCTTCCAAAAATATTCCATACACACATATCTGACACATCATAGACCTCCAAGAAATATCCTAAAGACGTCCAAAGGACATCTATGACTTTCCTGAACATTCTAAGGATTTTCCCAAGATGTTTCGGATAAAGTGTGATGTGTATGGGCATCAGTAAGATGTTTTTTTGACTCACCTAAAATAACAGGCGATATTTGTTTGGTTTTGGCGTGCCAAGATCTCACCGATTGCGTGGTGAGCAAGAGAACAATGATCACGCTCAGGAGAGCTGCCAGGCGCATTGTTTGTTGCGGCTACGATTTTAAAACGACAGACGGATTCTCGCTGGAAAAAACACGTGTATCTTGGAAATTAAACAAACTTGGTTGTTTTACTCGACGAACAATTTCTCTTCCAAGTGTCTCTTCTTGATCCAACAGAACGGAACTATCATCAGCACGTCACTGCGTTGTGCTCCGTTGTTTGTTTCCTTTAGTCACGGTAATCAGCTGATATCGCGCACATGCGTCGACGAAACTCGTGATCGGCGACAGCCAATCGAAGCGACGGACGAGCAACAAAAAATATTGTATTGGTATGCTTTCGTAAGTGACTGTTCTAATTGACCATAATTGTCTCTTCCTGCATTTGCATATTTGAAAAACATGTTATCAGAGAGGTCGATTTAAACTATCGATAAACGCGAGTTTAATGACGTTGAAAGAAAGAAGAGTAAACACGAATTTCGTTATTCCAATTATGTGAATATATAGATAGAACTTACGTTTCAGTTTAGCTTATTTTTTTTTCGGGATGTTTTGTTTTGTGAAATAATATGAAAAAAGCGCACAAGCTGAAACAAACAGATTTATGATCAGTTTATAGCTCTATTCTATTGCCAATTTTGCAATAAAATGTCAATTGCGTCAGGATATGAAATCAAAGTAGACAAACAAGCTTGAAATCTTGAACGAGCGTAAAATATAATGGATGCGTTCAGAATGCAACAGTTGTGGAATCGTTTTATGATTATTAAAACTTCGAGTAAAAATCAGTTCTTTACTTTAGTCTTGAAAATTATTTACTTCGATATTTATTTTCTTTGGATGTATATACATATATACAATATATATATGACACACATATATATATATATATATGTATATGACACCGCATATATATTTTATTGTTCTAAAATTAATCATTCAAAGTTTTTGCATTCATCCAAAAGATTTTTGTATAAAAATAGTTGTAAACAATCAAAATATATAGTACAATAATTAAATTACGATAACGTACTATATTATATATATTCAGTTTCTAAAAGGCGATATTTTTCTATTATAGGTATTACAACAATAATTTAAATATGTAATGTTAGAATTACTTACACATACACGTATATGGAATATCTGCAATTATACATTCCATATTATTGCGTGCGAATAATCACCGCAGATGACTCACGCTGGACTTTAGTTAAATATTCTATTTAGTTAAATATTCTATTTAATATATTTTGACTGTAAAAAGAAATTATATAATTTCGACTAAAACTCTAAATTATAAAATATTTTTATGTCCCACACAGCACAGAAGCTTGCAACAATGTTATTTCAATATTGTTGGAACTTGCAATATATGTTACCGGTAATCATCCACGCGGCAAGTTATTTAAAATTAATGCAACACAGAACGTATTTCATATTATATCCTTTTTCAGACTTTTTTTAGTAAAAAATATTTTTTTACTGTACAAATTGGTGTTTGATTTATTTTGGGTTTTTACTTCTCTAATTGTGAAAAGACTTTTTTTAAAAGAAAACGTTACGATAAAATCGCGCAATAAAAGAAGGGCAACATTTGTGAAAATTCAATTTCCAGGTTTTTACGTCGTTTATTATACCGGCGCGGCGTCCCGTATCGACGTCGTCGGGGATCGAATTGAGTACATTGTTGGATCAATCGTCGACGGTGCTTAGTACCGATCGACACCAAGACCTGAGCACGCAGCGGGTAGATACGGCGTCGTCGCACGCACCCACTCGAGAGGATCCAATCCATTGCGTGGACCGGACCGGAGCCGAGTGGCCGAGCTTTAACCCTCGTTTCCTCTCCCTCCGGTTAAAGCGTCGCGAGGATGGCCGATGTTAAACAGGATCACAAGGGCGAGGACGTTGACAGTTATGGGATGGGCAACAACGCCGACCCGAAGAACATGCAGGAGCTAACGCAATACGTGAGTCCGCGTATTTACGCACAGGATGACGGTGATGCATCCAGGGACGATCCGTCGCGAAGCGACCCTGACGCTACGTTGACTCCTTTGCAGGTGCAAACGCTGTTGCAGAACATGCAGGACAAGTTTCAAACCATGTCTGACCAGATCATAGGAAGAAATATCCTTTTTCTCATGCTTAACCTAAAACGGTGCTGTAAGCTGTCTTGAAGCGGCATTTCTGGAAAAATCTGTGTTGACACTTTGTCATACAGTGTCGTGTAACTGGTTGTCTGTGTTAGTATACGTCAGATTTTTTGCTGTATTGCCAAGTAGCTTGTTTTATCTGTGAACGTAAGTAGTAAAAAACAATAGCTGCTTTTTGTTATTAATTTTGTACGAGTCACGCTTTTGTTAATTTCAATAATTATAGAAAAGAAATTTTGTGTCCATGTGATTTCAAAATTTTATTTGGCATATATTTTTCTATTCAACTAATTGTTTATAAGAAATTAAATAGATCTGTTCTTTTTAGCTAAACTTGCCTAATTCGTCTACTTTTTTCTCTATGTTAAAAAAAAAGATGAGTCCCTCAAGAAAGTTCAACTAAAAAGAACAGATCTAATATATATTTGTAAACAACCAATTTTGAGTGATATTTATTTTTTAACTGTATATATATGTTATTCTTTATTCAATTATTAATTGAATTAAATATTATACAAGTTAACATATATTTATTATAGTATTAATCATAAAAATTAACATACGTTTATATATAGTATTAATAGTTGTTACAAATATATAATTCTTGTAAGATCCTTAATAAGAAATACTAGATGAAATGGGAAACAGAATAGATGACTTGGAAAAGAATATCGCAGACCTAATGACACAAGCAGGAGTCGAAGGAGGTGATAAATGAGCTCATTCTTTCCTCAATGCACTCAACTATAAGTAACGACTTATCCAAAGTATAGCCATACTTTATTGTCATGGAAAAAAATTGTATACCGATAGTGAGACACCCATCCTTTTGTTACAATACAGAAAATAAACTTACACTTTTTTAGAAATATATTTTGACATTATTTCAATTCTCGTTTCAGATAACTGAGATATCAACTAAACCAATATATCAATTAGATTACTCAACTTCAGTGGAATGCAGGTTATATTAATTCTTATATTATCTTTATCTCAATGAAGTTTCTCTTATTTTCTAAAAATAATGTTACATCTACATAAACACTTAAGTTAATACAAATAAGTATTATGCAAGTATGAAGATGTTTACTTTGTCTGATTCAATCTGTAAGGTATGCGATATATTATAGATGACATTAAAGACTTCTGACATGTAGGAATTGCTGGGACAGGTTTGAGAATGAAGCGTTTCTTTACTTTGTATCCAGCGTGTTTTGACATTCTTTTCTAAAAAGATAGAAATGCAAAATATAATAAAAGGATGATTAAAGTTACATAGATTTCTGCCTAGTTCTCACAGGCTTCTCTCGAATTGATTCTGATTCTGTTTCCTCTGTGCTGTCCGGATATTCTTCAACTTGAACCGACTCAGAAGAGTTCGTAAATGCAGTTCGTACAGAATCCTGAAATGTGTCATGTGTTAGGATTCAAGAATAAAAACTGTGAAGCGATATGTATTCGAATTTTGCACTTACAGTAGATTCAGTTCCTCGATTAGCTAATTTCTGTGATGTCAAGGGCGAAGATGCGAATCGAGTGGCTAAGTTCGTTAACGAGTAAGCCTGTCGAAATGAAGTTCTGCCCACCGTATCTAATCTTGCAACAGAATCGGGAACTCGTAATGTCTCTCGAAATTCCTAAATATCGAAATAACATTTTATTAAGATAATTATTACGAAATTGCATTAACATTTGACAGTAAAGTTATATTGAAATAGCAAGTCTTTCTCATTAAATTGTAATAACATGTATCAATTTGAAGTAAGTTTACCCCATTCATATCTCCTCTCGCGTTTTGAAAGTCCTGCACGTTAAAGGAAAGATAAATAATATTGATCGCACTTGTCATATAAAAATGCACAGTTACAGTACATATTTTATAAATATAATCTTTCTTAACTTTAACCAGACACAATTTAGAAAAAAATTGAAATTAAATCTTTTACTTTACCTCAATATCTTTAATTTCGTCAATAGTCGCAACATCTTGATATGCTTTGGTCAGAAGCTCAAGGGCCTTTGTGTGAAAGCTCAATTCGACAGTGACAAAATCTAAAAGTATGGATTTCAAATCGTGCAACTTTCGTCGTTCGAATGAGTCGATTTGTTCCTCCAATCCTTTTACCACTCGGGATACTTCGATGGACGCTTTCGTCAGCTCCGATTCAGCTTGAGACTGATATTTTTTTTCAGTTAAAAATTTATAATAATAACATAACGAGATACTCTTAAAATAATAAACTAGTTACATCACTTTAAAATTATTTTATCAATATTAATCTTATTCTTAATTATTAATTTAATTATTTGCTTTATTGTTACAAAAGGTATAGAATTAACTAAATTATAACTAAAATTAGTTTTTTTGATGAAATAAATTTTTAATTATAAGGATACTATCATTTGACGATTTCTAGGATTTCTTTCTCGAACTTTGTCCAAATGTCTTCGTCTTGTAAGTTCTCTATCGCGTGCTGCAAATGTGTTTTTTACATCGTCGCGAGCATGTTTACAAATCATTGCGTATTGCGAAAGAGGTACAATCACCTTAGCATCTAATCTTTGTACTTCCGCATCTCTGTAGAGTAGATCGATAATTTTAAAAATAAAAGTATAAATCACAAAATAGTGTTGAAAATAAAAAATATATAATGCAATTAAAATAGCATAGGCAAATCACACAAAAATTATTTAAAAAACTTCTAATAATCTTTCACATCCGATAATAAAGAATAAAAAGCCCATGATTTGATGAAAAATATAAAATTAAAAAAAATGTTATTATAAATAAATAAGATGGTAACGCTATAATTTTATTTTTTAGTTATATGTATGTCAAGATCAAATGCAATAATTATTTACAAAAATTAGTGTTTTTATGCATTGCAAAGAAAACGTAATTATTTGAGATAAAAAATTAGTTTTACCTATAATCACCGATAACTGATAATGTTGCGGAAAAATTCGCTAATCCGGCGCTCATTGATCGATTTATGATCTCTGAATCTGCGTAAATTTGTAATATTTTAGCCAGCTCATCGCTTTTATCACGCAATCTGAAAAAATAAATTAATAAATAGCGAACGAAATTCAGCGCATCGTCGTCAAAACAATAGGGAATAATGTCACTAAGGAGAAATAATCGATATGGTTTGTCATAGCGGAGGAGCACCTGGCAGCTTTTCTGGTGAACGCCGCGAATATCATGCACAGCTCGGCGAAGTGTTTTTCCACGCCCGTTATGCGATCTTGTACAAACTTCGCTTCTTGCTCACTAGCAAATAAAATAGATTTATTTAATCTAGGTTTGTTTATGATTTATTTACGATCTGTCAAATAGCGATGTAAAATTAAAATTAAAAAGAACAATATGTTTTCGATTTAACTTACTATAAGCTGCTTTGAGAACGCGATCGAAGCATCTTTCTCTCTGTCAAGTTCTTTAAAAAATAATTCAACTAGCTCTTTTACATCCGAATCCTTTGCTGTGGTAATATCTCGCGAAGCGAATGAAACAAGCGTCTGTTGTTTCCTTTCTAGTACGCTTCGTTGACAGTTACCTACTGGCAGGTGGTAAATTGCAGGTGAAGTTATATATGTATTTTCTATACTGCCTTCGGGCTAACTATGCAGGGGGTTGATTACGAATTCTGATTGTTTCACGAAAGGTAGTTCATATTTGATCCGACCTGTTTATTATACTTTTCCTCATATTCTGTTTCGCGACTGTAATACAATCCTTTTTATTATTTTCTTGATAAAGATTTGTACATTTCATAACACTTCTATTTTATCTGTATAACAAAATCAGATTATAAACATATCGATTTTATGTATTTACATTTGGGCTGGATTGTTTCACCTTTCGGTAAACTTATCTGAAGATGGAACAATTATTAGAAAAATAAAATTAACAGCTAAATAATATAACATCGTTTTTATGCATTTTATTAGAAAATAAAACTTCCATTATCTCTACTTCATATAAAACGTAGAAGATGAATACAGGATTCTGTATTACATTGTGATTTTAGTTACCTTTATCTTATAATACTGCAATAAAATAACAAGTTGATCATCAACGTCAAGATGTATTTACAAAAATACTTCATTGGTAGTACACGATTTAAGATTTAATAAATAATAAATTTGCAATAATACAATATCGCAATTAGCTAGTGTTTTTTATCACAGTGAATGAATGTCCTGCGCCAGCACCTACAAGAACTGCAACAGAATTAGATGAAACAGGAAGAAATTCCGGACGTAAAACGTTCTCCGTTTTTCCGTTACCGCAGTTTCCATGTTCGTTCCAACCCCAGCACAGCACTATTCCGTTATCTGTAAAATGAAATTATTTGTTATAACATATATGATAAGATAAAATATTTTTAAATATACGTTTCCAATTACATAAAATTATAACTATTTAATGCGTCTTTTATTTTTTAGTAAAATTTATAAATTTTTATCGCATATAATTTACCGGTTAAGGCAATATTATGCTCTGATCCAACTGAAAGTTGAACGATTTTCGGGATTTGTTCAATACATTGAAGTTTCTCTTCCGTAGAAATTCCATTTTGTGGTTGCAATACAGACCGACCTAATTGACCATAATCATTTCTTCCCCACGAATAAATAGTACCATCTGAAATCATATGTATATTTTAATATATATATATATATATAATACAAAGTAAATTTAATTTATTTACTGTTCAAGATATTTATGTGACTCCAGCCTGTATGAATTTGAATTGGTGCATTGTGTTGTATGTTAGAGAGTGGAATACATAAAGGTTGCAATATTCGTATTTCAGAAGAGGTTTTAGGAAAAAATCCCAGCTGTCCATGCTTGTTATCACCAAAGACATATATATTATATGTTTGGTTCTTTGTTAGGACGACAGTATGATACTGACCACAGGTAACATTTTCCACATTTCCTTGCATTGTCCGTTCTGCAACTGTTCACTTGTGTTTTAATTAAGGGGAAATATTTTCATTTTTTTATTATAAAATATATTTTCAATAGAACAGTTGCCAACTATTTCAGTTACAAGTAATAAAATGAATGATATAAAATGTATAAATTAAATCCATGAGAGTGATGAATAAATAATACCAAATATACTAAATAAATATACTATATAATATAATAATACATAATAAAAAATATATTAATAGATATTCGAGGAAATTTAATGTCTTTAGAATTTTTCAATTTATACATTCATTTTTATAGAATAAAAATTATCCAAAGTACAATTTGTCATATACCTTTGGTAAATACACCAAGAAGAACATAAGGCTTCATGGTGTCTGAATTAATCAAACCTAATTGTCCTCTATTATTTGATCCACAAACATAAAGTTCATGATTCACTGTTACTACAGCGGTATGTCGCAGACCCATTGAAACATTCTTTATTTTCTCGCCAAATGAGATTTTGTGGGGATAAAGTATTGAAGGAAAATCTGAAGGATCCAAACCTAATTGTCCATAACGATTGGAACCCCATACATATAATTCGCCATTCCTTGTTAATGCTGCGGAACTGTCCCATCCGCAGCAGACATCAATCACTACTTCATGTTCAAGAGCACATATCCTTTGAAATATTAGAACATTTTCTTGCTCGATGTTGATGTTTCCAGCTTGTCCTTTATTATTTAGTCCACAGGAATAAACGCGACCATCCGCTTCTAAAATCAGTGTGTGTCCAGCACCACCGACAATTTTCCTGATGAGTTCTGGCCTCAGGGAACATTTGGATAAATCAACTTCTTGAGGTAGAATAAATTGCTCGGATAATAAACCTTGTCCTAGTTGACCATGGGAATTTGCACCCTGTAAAATATATTCAGAAGATTTTTCGAATTCTTTAGAAGTGCTATAGATTTACGTTTCAGAAGTTTATCTGGTAAAAGTGCAATGGAGGAGGACAACCGTCTCAAAAATCGATTAAATTATACTTATTTGACGCGTTTTTCCATAAAATGATTTCTATAATTGGACTGTTGGATATGGGTTTCGATTTTAAAATGGGTTAGAAATATTGTCTAGAAGTTGCAGCCTAGATGACCCCTTGCAATATTTCTAACCCATTTTAAATTTCGTTCCTGTTGGACCGAAAGTAACAAAACGCATGCGCATGAGATCGAAATGCATGTAGAAGACATGACATGACGATTGTGTAGGGCATAGATTCAAGAAATTGTATCTCACATGACATGACACAAGTTTGGATGTTTTATTTACAATTACTTACCCATGAAATCAGACGATACATAGACATTTATAAGTTGCTTTCCATTTACTCCGATTCTCAGATAATTCTCACTTATGACGTTACAACTCAGTTGAATGCGCGTTCCTTTTGCATTCTGAGAAGTGAGATTCAACTGAGTTTTTACCTACAAACTGCACAAGATCGAGACCGTGTGCTTTATTGAGTCTCGTAGACTCACTTTAAAAGTGAGGTTATAAACTTGTGTTGTTATTTGTGTGATATCAACTAAAGATCTACGCGTCGGGCTTTGTGTTACGAACTATACGAGGTTAATTTTAAAGCAGTTTCACTTGTGTGTAGATGGAAAGCAACTATTATTTAATTATATTCTTTAAATATTTTTCTTCCTTATAATTTAGAATATATTTCTTTACATTATTCCACATGTCCACATTCCACATCCACATATTTAAAGAATATGATCAAATGCGTCATAGAAAGGCAAGTGCTCATGAAAATCTCCAACTAGAGCAAGAATCTTGGGCTGCGGTCGAGTTGCCACTACGAATGCTTTGAAGCGTTTCTTGATTGGTCAATTTGTAAAACTCTTTCTTTTGATTGGTTAATCAAACGCTTCAAAGCATTCGTAGTGGCAACTCGACCGCAGCCTTGATCAGCCTTCGATGAAATATTCAAAATATATTCTGCTTAAATAATGTCGTTTCGTTATTCAGTAAAAAATATGCTATTTCATCTCCTGTATTAACATTTGGTTTACGTATTTAAATTAATTTAAATGATTTCATGTGCAACAGCCTTTAGTAAGCTCCGTGCACGAATTTTATGTTGGCTAGGTACACATGTGTAGCATACTTATATGATTATAAACAAATATGCCGGTGTACGAGCAAGTTATATTAAGAAAAATAGATTAATTAAACAAGAATTTACTTCTGGCTGTGTAACATTAAATGCTGTTATTTTTGTAAGTGACGTGATATAGAAGAATCAAGCTGAGCAAAATGCAAGAATCCGTCAAGTTCAATCTTAAGGAGGTTAAATCGGATCTTCTGCATGCAATACGTGAATGCTCTCAGCGCGGTTTACTACACACTACTAAATGGTGAATTTTTGTTTGAGTAAATGTATTACAATCCCTTTATGCATATACTTATAGGATTCCACAGTCTACATTCATGTCTCTTTGTTGTAGGTTAGCGGAATTAAATTATTCTTTGAAAAATATAGATATAGATGATTCGACTATACATACCAAGGTACCAGAGATCTGCGAAGCAGAGGATATCTATACCTTAGCTAAAACATACTTTGATCTAAAGGAATATGATAGAGCAGCTTATTTCACAATGGACTGCGTAAGTCCTAAGATTAGATTTCTACATTTGTATTCACGTTATTTATCGGGGGAGAAAAAAAAGATAGACGACATGACGGATGTGCCACCAGATCCTCTGAAGAACGAGACTCTAAAATACCTTTGTGCCGATCTAAGGTCAGATCATTTGGCATCGAAGCTAGATGGTTATGGATTATATCTCTTTGGTGTAACATTGAAGAAGCTGCAACTCATTAGAGAGGCAACAGATGTTCTAGTAGAATCTATTCATAAGGAGCCTATGCATTGGGGTGCATGGTTAGAGCTGGCTGCATTAATTACAGACAGGGAGAAGCTGGAGAGCTTATGTCTTCCTGATCATTGGATGAAATATTTCTTTATGGCACACATGTACTTAGAATTACAGCTCATAGATGAAGGCTTAGCTTTATATTGTCAATTGCAATCGATGGGTTTTCAAAAAAATGGTTATGTTTTAGCTCAAACTGCAATTGCAGTACATTATAGAAGAGGTAATTTAGCAAATTCAATATTTAGAATAAATAGCTGTTTATAATCTTTATTGAAATATCTTGAGTTAGATTATATTTTTCCTTAATTATATAAATTGATTTTAGAATTTTTATCTATTTATCATATCATTCATAATTATTTGAAATATATTTTCGTTTAAATGTGTTTGTGTCTGTGTGATATCACTTGAATATGTGATAAAAATATTTTTTATTTTAGATGTTGATAATGCAATAGAAACTTTTAAAAGAATAATAGATGAAGATCCATATTGCCTTGATAACATGGATACATATTCAAATTTACTTTATGTGAAAGAAATGAAAGTTGAATTAGCAGATCTAGCACACAGGGCTACCGAGATAGATAAATACAGATTAGAAACTTGTTGTATAGTTGGTAAGTATTAATTGTGCATCTTTTCAAAAAGCGCAATTTCATATTTAAGGAAAACATACTTTAAGAAAGATTTAAAAAATGATGTCCCTTTTAGGAAATTATTACAGCTTAAGAGCTGATCATCAAAAAGCAGTGATGTATTTTCACAGAGCATTAAAAATGAATCCTCAATATTTATCAGCCTGGACATTGTTAGGTCATGAATTTATGGAAATGAAAAATACCAATGGTGCTATTCACAGTTATAGACAGGCGATTGGTAAATTCTTTGTATATTTTTTGTTTGCATCACAAACATCGCATCTTTTATTTATAATTTTCAACTTGTTAGAGGTGAATAGACGGGACTATAGAGCATGGTATGGTTTGGGTCAGACGTACGAAATCTTGAAAATGCCATTTTATGGACTGTATTATTATAAACAAGCTCAGCTTTTAAGGCCCCACGACAGTAGGATGGTTTTAGCCTTAGGCGAAGCATACGAAAAACAGGATAAAATTCAAGATGCACTCAAATGTTATTACAAGGCATGCAATGTAGGCGATATAGAAGGAATGGCACTCTTAAAATTAGCAACGTATGTATCCAATATGTAGTACTGAAATGATAGAAATAAAAAAAATATATTTTTTTTGTCACAGACTGTATGAAAAATTAGGAGAACACGATCATGCAGCGGCAGCTTATACAGATTTTGTAGTGGATGAATTTCGTAATGTCGATAGAACAGAGCTGAGTCACGCGTATAAATATCTCACACAGTATCACTTAAAGAAGGAACAATTGGAGCAAGCTAATCACTATGCGCAGAAGTGTCTTCAGTTTGATGAAACAAAAGAGGAAGCGAAGGTGCTATTACGAACTATCGCTGAAAAAAGAGTTAAAATAGAAGAAACCTTTATGGTGGTAAGTGACATTATATAATAAAGTAATTAACAAAACAATTGAATTTCATTGTTTTTCTAGGTGGATGATATGAATGAAACGGATCCTGTGATTGAACAAAGAGCGCGAACGGATGCGACACCTGGAAGTCAACTATCGCCAATGAATCTTTCATTCATACCTACACCATAAAAACGGATATTTTCCATTCACAGTATGTAATTTTAATGCTTGTGTATCATAATTATCTTATACATAAATACAAAAGATTGAATGTATTTATATATTTTTTTGTAGTAAATTATTTCTTTTTTCTAACGTTATGTTAAAATTTCTTGAGAATTTATACTTTCATGTATAAAGTAGCTGTAATTGTAATTTATTATTAGATAGCATATAACGTATATATTATAAAAAACAGTTCGCGGAATTTAAATTTTTTCTGGTTAGAAAAAGATTATAAAATTGGTTATTAATTCAATGCCAGTTCAATCGGAATACTTACAATGTTTATTTATGTTTGTTATAAAAATCAATAGTGTAGTCAATTTATATGTAAATTTTAATTTACACATTAATATTAATAAATCGATATTTTTTTATATAATATATTGCAATAGATTTGTGTGAATTATTTCCTGTGTCAAAGATTTATTATTTATAATTCCGTTAATTACATTCTACCATGAAAATATTCTTAAATACACCTAATGTATATAATTAATTAATGTATATAATTTTTATTGTTAAGTATAAAATGCAACTGATTACCAGTTGAAGTATAATATTTAATTTGCATTTGGACATTTCTTCTTCGGCGAGTTATTATTGACCAATATTGTTTCCTGTAAATACAATACATAAAATATATATATTATAATTTCCATAATTCCTACAATTTTTTTATTCTTTAGAAATATGTAATTTCTGAATTTATATATATTTACTTCATCATCGGAATTGTTGAAGTAATTCCTTGTTTCTCTAAATCTCTGAATAATTCGTTCGTGTGGCGAAGTTGTAATAAGGTGTCGTGGATATTGATATTCTTTCCTTGCCGGTGTTAAACCTAAAAAGAAATGTTAAATATTAAATGAATTTTCAAGTCTGCTTTTTATTGCTGCATCGAACTGCAATAAAACTTTCTCGCTTTCTCACTAAATTTTAAATATATATAATTTTTTTAATTGCAATAAATGTATATTAGTTCAATCACAAAGAATGGATCCATCACTTACATATATAAAGGAAAATGTTAAAAAGATGTCAATTTCGCCCCCCCTCTCCCAGTTTGATTTAAATAGACCATGAAAAATCATTGTCTTGATCTTCAAAAACAGGAAATATCAATTATTTGTTCGAGAAGTGGTGGAGACATTACTAGAGAATGACTTAAATAAACTTAATGATTCTTAACTTTGATTATATATTTGTGGTTTTGTTAAATAAAAGTAGCAAAGGGTTCTTAAACTGATTACATTAAAGGGTCAGGTGATTTTAAATTTGTAATTGCAAAAGAATCTATATACAATGTAACATAAAAAGGTATGAAATATTTAATATTTTATATCGATATATGTACCAGAATAAAGTACAAAATATCTCGTAATAATTATTTTCTGTTTTTTTTTTTTAAGATCTCGATAATGATTTTTGAAGGTCTATTCAAATGTAACTTAGGCAAAAATTTACACTTTGTCAACACTTCATTAATACATAAATATAAAAATCGAAGATTTACCTGAAGGCGTGTCATGCCGTAAATCTTCAAGGAATTTTCCAATTTTTTCTTGTATTGAATGCATTTCTGTAAGTGTCTTGTCATTCCAGACAGACAAATTTTTACTTTCATTTGCAAGCTTATCATTTAGTTCTGTAGATGTTTGTAGATTTTTCTCTTTTAATTCTTCTGCAAGCTTTTTGTGATTATGACCTTTTTGTACTAGTGTATCATACATATTCTGTAAGAGAAACAATTAGATACATATATTACGTGTGTGTACAAAACAATTTTAATGTGTATACAAAGTATATTTACTTTGATAGATCCAATAGAAGAAGAATCATCTTCCTTTAATTTTTGTTTCATTTGTTTCATATCATTTTCGACGTGTAGTTTATTCTGTGCTAGTACATCGCAATGATTATTTAAATCAGTTTGAAGTTCGTCAGTTAAATTACGGCTATGTACTACAATTTGCTCTGCTAACATCCAATTCTAATAGAATAAAAGATACAGAATTAGTATATTATCTTGTCCATATTATTTAAAGTGCTTCATTTAATAATTAATGAAAATTAAATATTACCTT